CGCAGGTAAATCTTTTCGATATAAGTTTTCTCTGGGAACAGGCCCCCCTATCTAAATTCTTTGGGGCAGTTAAGGGAAAGGTAAAAGGCTCTTCCTGAGTCTGCTGGGCCTGATCGTCTTCAACTGGAAACAATCCACCCGCCAAAATGGCACATTCTGGAGCCGGCTGCCGAAATCCCTTCAGCGTCCATGAGCCTTTCACCCCTCCCGCTGGCAGGCGTACGCTGAATGCCTCCCGCGAAAAAGGCTCCGCTCTGAGTCTAGGCGCACAGAGAACAAACAGTGAGACAGTTTCTGCTCCCAAGGAGACTCAAGTTGACACCAGACTAATGTCAGCACAGCTCCTCTACCGTTTACTCTGAAAGCCAAGTCTTTCGGTTACATCCATGCACACAGAATTGGCACTGAAACTTTTAAAAATAGATGACGGTGATGGAAGAAAGAAAAAAAGAAACACAAATGTTTTCAATGTTGAAAAAAATAAATAAGTAGATGACTTCGTTTCTAAACTGACATTCATAGGTCCAAGGAATAATGAAGAAGGCTGTATTACTCACCACCGGAAGATTTATCAGGAAAAGGAAAAAACATATTTAGTCTAAACTTTATTGGACACATATTTTAAGAAACCTTAGAAAGTCCATTCCATGCAGAAAAATATCCCCAAAAGGAGCATTTAAGACTGAACTTAAATTTTATGTTAAGTATCTGGTTATATAGACTTATGTATTTCAAAAGCATCTGTGTATTATTCTGTTTTTATTTATTTGTGATGGATACTGGTGTTTAGTGGGACTTCATAATTTCCAATTTAGAATTCTTATTATCACACAAATAAGGATACATTTTGCCAAGGCTTGTCTTGCTTTCCGCATCTAGGAGCAACTTAGTTCTTGAGTTGGGTAGTGCCTATAATAGGTAAAATTGCTCATCCTAATGCTATGATTTCAGAATGGCCTCCCTCTCTTCCCCTTCCCTCCTCTCCCTTCCCCTCCCCTCCCCTCTCCTCCTACTTTTCCTTCCCTCCTCCTCCTCCTCCTCCTCCTCCTCCTCCTCCTCCTCCTCCTCCTCCTCCTCCTCCTCCTCCTCCTCCTCCTCCTCCTCCTCCTCTTCTTCTTCTTCTTCTTCTTCTTCTTCTTCTTCTTCTTCTTCTTTTCTCTCTCCTCTCTCCTCTCTCTCCTCTCTCTCCTCTCTCTCCAGCATTCTCCAGTCTGAGAGGAGGGCATGAGACAAGTGTTAAAATAGAAACAAAGTATATGAGAAGGTTAATAGTGTTGTGAAGACTTGTGGGAAGAGGTTGGCTATAAGGAAGAGTAGAGAAATGAATGAGAGAAGAAAAGAGAGCTGATCAAGGGATAGAAAAATGCCTTAAAATCTAACATGTCATGTTTTGAAAGGCTTTGGGAAAAATAAAAAACATAAAACATGCCCTTTCCAGAAGAAACCAAGTAATCTAAGGAAGATATTTTATTTCAGATAAGTAGAGTGAGATGAATTTTCTCCAGTCTCAAAACAGTGAACTTTGCCCAGCCAGAGTGGCTCAGTTGGTTGAGCGTCGTCCTGTGCTCCAAAAGGTTGCAGGTTCGATGCCTGGTCAGGGTACAGGCTGTGGGTTCTATTCCCTATCAGGACATGTACAGAGGGCAACCGATCAATGTTTCTCTCTCACATCGATGTCTCTCTCTGTCTGTGTCTCTCTCTCCCTTCCTCTCTCTGAGCATGTTCTTGGGTAAGGATTTTTTTAAAAACAACTGAACTTTATTTTACACAATAGAAGCATAAAAGACCTTTGAAATTCCACATAGAACTTGATATCAGACATCAAAGGGGAGTGGTATCAGGTTGATTAATATCAGCCTCCCTTCACCAACACAGACAGCAGTGTCTCAGAAAACTGAGTCCCTCCAGGGCAGGGACAACACCTATTAATCTTGGAGTCCCCAACCTTAGCACATCGTTTGGTGTATTGCCGTTATTTTTTTTTAACAAGTAAAATGATTACAGAGTTAGTCCCTTCCTGCACATCACAGCACTGATTCAGTTGGAAGAAATTATTTGAAAGTAACTGACAAGAGAAGGAGTGTGATATGAAGTAGATGATTGAAGTTTTCAAAGGACACATCTCGAAATTTTTCTTCATTCCCAAATTGTTCATTTCACTACATCATATAATTTTCCACACAAAAAAACATACGCACTATGAGCAGAGAACAACAAACGTATATTGAGATTCAGATGTTGATATTAAGTAATGAGAATCATTCTTCAACTAAATTGCAAATTGCTAACTTCTTGACTGCTATTGTATACATAATCTCAGGAAATCATTTGAATATAATCAGATTGGCAAATACTAAAACATGAATGTTTATAGGCTACTATGTTTTATTTAGAAGATTAGGAAGAAGATATTTTTTTTATTCTAGTATTAGAGCATTCTCTGTCCTGCCTCTGTTGAGATTAATCTGAGGACATGTATGTGTGTTGTTGTTGTTGTTGTTTTATGAAAGAGAGAGAAAGAGAGAGAGAGAGAGAAACATTGATGTGAGAAACATCGATTAGTTGTCTCCCATATGTACCCTGACTAGGGATTGAACCCGCAACCTAGGTATGTGCTCTCACTGGGAATTGAGTCTGCAACCTTTTGGTATATGGGACAATGCTCCAACCAACTGAGCCACCCAACCAGGGCATACCCTTCTTTTTTTATCCTCAATTTGCATAGTTTAATATTGTGGACTTTATGGGCATTCAGTAAGTCGTTGATGACTTGGATTAGGTGGAAAAATGTACCAATATGCACACTGTAAAAGTCAGTGTGGATAGGCATAAAATAATTAGAAACACATTCCCATATACAATGAACTTTGTTGATATATTTTCCCAACTCTTTGCTAACATTCCATGATCAGATCTGTAAATTATAAAAGGCCAACCTACAGGCAATACTTTGCAGAATACAGTGACAATAGATCCAATAATAGGAAAATGTAACTGATTTCAGGCCAATCTAATAAAGGACATTTGTAAGTCAAGCCCAGGAAATTGCATTCAAGAGTAATGTTGTGACATTCACTGCAATATGACAGTGGTAACAAATTTTAAAAAGAATATTGAAGCTTCAAACTCTCCAGTTCTTCAGTGATAATGGGATTTCAAGTTACCCCTAACAGAGTAATCAAGCTAAAGAAGCAGCTAAGAGATACATAAAAGGAATCAAAATTGAATAAGGATCCATTAATATTATAGCTTATGTTTCAAAACGAAAAGTGAAAACATGGGGAAAAGGGATAGTTCTCTGAAAGTTGACTGACCGCCTCCAGTGGGTTGAATTTCTTGGATACATCTGGCCAAGTCTAAATGGAGAGATGACATTTGTGTTGAGACTATTAATTGTCATAGCAATAAATTCAGTAACATTAAGAGAAGGCTGAAAGTAATAAATTTAAAGATTATTAAAGAAAGAGACTTTGTTGTAATGCTGATATAAGGTATAAGAAAAGTATTCATTTGCACCTTTCTATTTGAGATTTTTCGTAAGTGGTGTGATTCCAATGATAAGACTGACCTTGGAAAGGAACAGGTCATGAAAAGGATATTTTGAGTTTAAGGAAATACTTCATACTATGATGCAGAAATAGGGGGGATATACAGCTTGCTTAATCCAGCCACTGTGCCAGGGTATAGGCATTTCAGGGCACAGAGGGGAGCATAGTCAACAATGGCTATCAGTGTGTAGGGGAAAGATGCACAAATACTTACTGGCAAAATGTTGTATAGATGACAAAAGCTATACAAATTATAAAGAGCAAAACTTGAAAATTCAGAGAAATGAATGCTTCAAAAATGTACTTGAAAAAGTGTAAGTAAGGTTAAAAGATAACATTGTGGTATTAAGACAATTTAGATGATTATTTATACCAAGTAGGAAGATGGATGCCAAAGGAACCTATAGACATGAGCTAGGAAAGCACATGGAATTTAATTTCTCTAAAGAAACAAAACTTAAAATGGAAATGTTATACCTGGCAAAGCAGGAGGATGAAAATTGGCCTTATATAATTGAAATGTTTGCCTTAGTTTGTCAGTGCAGGATATTTTTTCTCTAATAAACAACCTTGATGAGAATAAATATCTGAATAGAATCTTGAAGTATGTGGAAAATAATGCAGGAACAAAAGAATTATGATGGTGATATAAACCTATTATGCTATTCTAAAATGTTATGAAAAATTAGATCTTAATAACAATACAAATCTTTGGATATTAGAGAGCATTTTGAAACAGAAGAGATGAGATACAAGAGGATTGTCAATCTGGCGAGATGTATTTTTCTTATGCATAGTTTGGGAATTATGTCGTTTCTTCCAGTATAAACATTGACTCTATTAATAATAAAAAGGAAAGTGTCCCTCAACTAATCTGGCCTTTCCTTTCCAGGTATTAGGAATACAGTCAATTTCCCCCCAGTGCAGGGGTCAGCAATTTATATCTATTTTTAAATATATTTTTATTGATTTCAGAGAGGAAGGGAGAGGGGGAGAGAGATAGAAACATCAGTGATGAGAGAGAATCATTGATTGGCTGACTCCTGCACGCCCCCTACTGGGGATTGAGCCCGCAACCCAGGCATGTGCCCTTGACTGGAATCGAACCTGGGACCCTTCAGTCCATAGGCTGACACTCTATCCACTGAGCCAAATCAGCTAGGGCGGGGGTCAGCAATTTTGATGGAGACTGTAATTGGGTGAATGTGCAGTTGTTCGAGACTGTGAAATGTAATCATCATTCCAGTGTTTTATTACAGGTATCATTGCGTTTCCTCCATCTCTTCCATTGTGTGTGACATATTGTATGCATCAGCATGCTGAAAGATAGAGTGCTTTCTTTCACTCAAGTGGAAGATGTAGGGCAGAATTGACCGTGTAAGTGTGGGGCACTTCCCCCGCATTTTCATAAGCTTTGTGCTCATAGATTGCATGCTGTGCTTTTTATTTCAGTAACATTTAACAAAACCATGGCCATGGAGGAAATTAAACTCACACAGAATGTCCATAATGAGGCTCTGAGTGCTGATGTTTCAGGTATGGTACAAACTGTGAGTTGCACGTTAAAGAGACAGAAGCCGTCTTTTTCCTGTTTGCAGTTTCCAAAATATCCGGATTTAACCATCACTGACTTGTCCATTAACCTCCACTGTCGGGTGCACAACAGAGGTACCCAGAAGGATAAGCAAAGCAAAACAGAGGCAGCCAGAACAGGTGTTCATGCGTCCTCGATCCCAGGGGAAAGCTTCTTAGGCTTTCGTTCTGCACTTAGAGTCTCTCTTCACAAATAATCCTGTCCAGCTTGGTGATCCAGTTTCCTGTTTCACAGGCGTAATGAGCCTGTGCCGAATTAGAAAGGAGAAGGGATTATGAGAATCAGACTCACCAGCCTCATAAGAAGTGACAGTCAGAAACGTCAAAGAAGGGGGCAGAATACTTATTTTATTCATTATTTATTTATTGTTTTGTTTTGTGGAAGGGTCGGTCGGTGATGAGGGGGAAGGCTGATGGTGATTGTGCCAGGTGAGCTTTAAGTCTGCTCACAAGTTTGAGACTGGGTGGCCTCCACCCCAGAGTACTTATTTTAAAATAGGCACAAATATGTTCAAGGCAGAAGGACCATGAATTGGGACAGACTATCCTGTCTTCTTCAATTTCTCCTCAAGATATCATTTTATTACATCTAAGCTTCATAGGAAAAGCCCCAAAATATCAAGGACAGTTTATATTCTGTTCACTGTATGATCTGTTATAGAAAAATTTCCGGTAAAAATGCTTTTGTTTTAAAATTTTTTATACTAATAGGGATAACATTTAGTTAGCCTCATCCTTCAGTAATCTATAATAATAAAAGCGTAATATGCTAATTAAACTGGACAGCCGAATGATCTTCTGGACATCCTTCCAGATGAAGCCGCTGCAGCAGGGGCCGAGGCAGAGGCGGTTAGGGGCGATCAGGCAGGCAAGTGGTTAGGGGTGATCAGGCAGGCAGGCAGAGTGGTTAGGGGAAATCAGGCAGGCAGGTGAGTGGTTAGGGGAGATCAGGCAGGCAGGTGAGCGGTTAGGAGCCAGAGGTCCCAGATTGCGAAATGGATGTCCGACTGCCGGGCTGAGGGACAGCTAGGAATCGGGCCTAAACCGGCAGTCAGACATCCCCCAAGGGGTCCTGGATTGCGAGAGGGTGCAGACGGGCTGAGGGACACCCCCCTCCCCATGCACGAATTTCATGCACTGGGCCTCTATTACCATATAAATGAGAATTATCGTAATATAATGCATTGGATGAGCCCTAAAATATATTCTTATTACTACTGATCAGAACATTTTGATTTTAAACTCCCATTTCAATTTTTTTTTAATTCCTTCAAATGAATTACATGGAAACCACCAATGATTGAGCTTACCCTACCTTTCTTGGCAGAGATAAAAAGGATATACTTATACTAGTTCGTTCTTGCTAGTTAATTTCCTGACTGTTATATGTTTTTGTTTTACTTTATGCAGAGCAGTTTCTCTCCCTTTAAAAAAATAGCAGGTTGAAATTAGCTTATTTGGATATTATATACACTTTTCTCTTTTGGAAAGTAGATATCAAAATTAGAGCAAATGAGAGCTTTGGGAGACAGTCTGCATTATGCTCGCAGTAAACTTCTTCCCCTCCCTCCGTACCCTCCACTCTCCATCACGCACCCCGGCCAGCATGACGTGACAGTGTGTTTGTGAAAGCCTGGCCCAGAACAGCTTATGTGACTCATACTATGAAGCTTTTACTACCTCTCTAGGGAGGTTACAAAGTCTGTGAGGTCTCCTTACTTCCTTATTGTGCAGGTTGAGATTTTTTAAAGAAATGTATTTTATTTGTCTTGTTTAGATGATTCCCTTGACTACATTACTTCTTATCTTTCCTTATTGGAAATCACAAATTTACTTTGCTGTGGGATTCTTCTACACAGTTATTTGTTGTAATTTGGAATATAAAGGGATTATTCCTCAAGTTTCTGTTCTTTGAACTCCAAACAAACCCAATTTCATTTTGGGTTAGGAAAGAAAAGTATACATACTGCCATATAGCAGTACACCTGCCATATATTGTCAGCTGCCATTTCTTTGAGATACGAGAAATTGTGCAGCTCATTGACCACTTTTTCCTGAGGGAATTTGCATTAGTATAGGTCTTTGATATTAGAAGTTGACGCTACTATTTAATTGGGGAAGAAACAGACTCATAATCTCATTTTTAATACAGCAAGAAATTTCTATCTGTTTCTTGGATGGAGTAAAAGGTAGTACTTAGAATGGAAGTAGGAAGGAAGGGAGGAAAGGAAGGAAGAAAGAGCTGAACTGCTTAGTACCTGAGAAGAAGTAGGTACATAAAACCTTAACAAGCAGAGCCCTGGTTCTCTACTTATGAGTTTTTAATTACCTACAGTGCACCAGGGTCTGTGCTCTAGCGCTCTTTCACAGGTATTTTTCTTACAGCCATGTTCTTTTAGTGTCCGCAGAATAGAAAAGAAAATTTGTCCCAGTGATGACTCAAAAAACAAAAAGGCAGAAGATTTGTGCCCTAAAAGTCGAAGGGGAAAATAAATGGCATAGAAAAAATAATATACTTCAAAATTATACCAGGGTATTAAACTTAGGGTACCAGTTTTTGTCTTGGTGATTGGTGATTCAAAGTTAGGATCACCTGAGCAGCCATAGATTGCTTAGGTTCAGTCAAACGTTTCCTACGTTTTTCACTTACCCAGTGGGTTCCCTTGTGTTTTATCAGCTTCTGGATTTTTGTTTGCGTTTTGGTGGGCTCCTCCTCAGTTTTTCCAGAGCAGAGTGGCTTTTGGGGGAGGTCAGCCTGCACAGCTTGATGCACAGCCGATAAGACAAATCCTAAAGAGGGTTGTCTCCAGTCTCAGATGCTCCCCCTAAGTTACACTGGCAAGGGAAGACGATCTTAAAAAGCAGAGATGTGAATGAGGATTAATCCAAAACACGACTATCAAGGTTGCAAACTGAAAGTAGGAGAAATGCTAACATTTTGTGGCAAATACTGTTAAGGTCTTTTTCATGCTTTTAGCGGTATGTTGATGTGGGTGTGAGCAACAGGCTCCTTTAGAGCAGGGGTCCTCAAACTTTTTAAACAGGGGGCCAGTTCACTGTCCCTCAGACCGACCGTTGGAGGGCCGGACTATAGTTAAAAAAAAAAAAAAACTATGAACAAATTCCTATGCACACAAAACGGGAACAAATACAATATTTGTATTTGCATGTGGCCCACGGGCCGTAGTTTGAGGACCCCTGCTTTAGAGAGACCCTGACATTTCTTTCTGCCCTTCCTTTGAAGTCTAACAGTATTGGTGCTATTTATTCCTCGCTCCCTCAGAACTTCTCAAGTTTCCTCCCAGAAAGAAGTTTTCTCTCCACTGAGCTTCCAAGAACAGATTTCACATCACTGAAAGTTAATTTAAACTTCTGACTTTTACGATCCCAAGTTGGGGTAGGGGCTCTTTCCATGGACCACACCTGCCATAACACAGTAATACTCTTCTCATTCATCATTTGGGAATAAAAATGGATTTTCTTTTTACTTCCTCTCAAAGAGTAAGAAACTTTAAAACACTCAGAAGTCTGTTTCTCATTTTACCAAAACCATTATAATGAAACAGTTTTGCCTGCATCTTGGTATTACTCTGGCTTCTTGTCTAGCATCCTACATGCACGATTTGTTGCACGTTCTCCCTTTCTTTTTGGCTCAGCACTCAAAGAGAAAGCCAGCCCAGAGCGCCCTCATCCATCACATTACACAAGTGATAAATGGAGCTAATTTACTCTCTGTGGGTTTTTAATTAACCTAGAACATTTTTTATATGAAATAGTTCTACACAATAAAATTTTCATTAATTATCAGCTGGGACCCCAGAGCCGAGCCAGAATAGAAAGAGAAGGAATGGATATTTCCCTCCCAACATTAACAATGTTGATACTAATAAGCAGAGTGGGAGCATATATCACTCTACACAGGGTCTGCAAGTTGTTCCAGGATAAACGTCACCCAGCAGTTTTTGAATATGCCGACAGTCATTTCACTGATACTTCAAGAAGTCACTTTTACCCTGGCTGGTGTGGCCAGTTGGTTGGGTGCCGTCCCGTGCAACGAAAGGTTGCCGGTTTAATGCCCAGTTGGGGCACATGCCATGGTTTTGGGCTTGAGCCCTGGTAAGGGACTGCAGGAGGTAACCAATCAATGTTTCACTCTCATATTGATGTCTCTCTCTCTCTCTCTCTCTCTCTCTTTCTCCCTCCCTCCCCTCCACCCTACTCCTTCCTCTCTCTCTAAAAATCAATTTAAATTCATCACATAGAGTTGCCAAGAACAAGGGGTTGCAAATAGGCTTACCATACTGTAGCTTTTATGTATTCCACTGCCTTCCAGAGTTTTTCAACATAAAATTAATGGAAAAATAACAAAGAATGGACTATAATTTTTTTAAAAATACACTTTTTAGAGCAATTTTAAGTTCACAACAAAGATGAGCAAAACATACATTTCTTGCCATCGTAGTGTAATATTTTAACTGAAAAAGTTTACTTTTAGAAAAATAACAACTTTATTGAGATATAATATGCCATTTTAAAGTACATGATCCTGTGTGTTTTAGTATATTCACAGAGTTATGCAACCATCACCACTCTCTAATTTCAGAATTAAAATTTACTTTTAAATAAGGAAATTAAAATGCCACTTAGAAAATGGAAAGAAAAACAAATATCCCCCAAAGTCACCATTCAAACCAAACTCTTGTCGTTTTTTGTACATTTTATTTTATTTATTTTTTTGCATCCAGATAATTTTACAGAGAGTGTCCTGTGCACTTATTTTACAATCAATGGCTCTGTCTCTTTAACGGAACTCACAGTGTAATGAGGTGTGCGGTGATTCTTACTGCTGTGTATACACATGAAATTATTCAAGTACAGAAAATAACTTCATGGCCGTGTGTGCTGTGGTGTGTTGCTTTTTATTAAGCCATCTCTCTCGGTAT